TTATCAGTTATATGATTAACAAATATTTTCTCCCATTTTGTGGGTTATTTCTTCACTTTCTTGACAGGGTCCTTTGATGGATAAAAAGTTTTTAGTTAGATGAGGTCTTATTAATATTTTTTTGATTGCTTGTACTTTTGATCCACATTGTCTTTTCCTCCTTGAAGAATAAAACAAACATTAAACCAGGAGTAAAGAGATATGACTTCTATTCCCAAATATGAAATTACATAAATGTGTGACCTTAAGCCATTAGTTAAATTCATTTGGAACTCCATTTCCACATGTTTGGAAAGAAGTTGGGTTCACAAGTAGTTTGTAATTTTTCATGAATAAATTATTTCTGTGAAACCCCCAGGTTAGTATTTTTCCACCTGCCTTCCATTTCGCAATAGCCAGAGACATGTTTGGTTGTCACAACCAGAAAAGAGTGCTACTGGCATCTAGTGAGTAGAGGTCAGGGGTGCTGCTAAATCTTACAATGCACGAGATGGCTCCCATAGCAAAAAATGACACCAGCCAAAAATGACACCAGTACTGAGGTTGAGAAACACTGCTCAAAAATTATGATTCTCTAACTCCAGTTTATCTTTAAGTGGTAGTGTTTGATTTTGCCTATAGGAGCCAGATTGATTTGTGCTCTTAGCTTTATATTAGAGGTACTAGCCTGATGGGGGCAGAAGAAGGGGGGGATATCAATAATTCTTGCAATTCAGGAGATTTTTTGGTAATGTTTTTGGGAGTTTTTAAAATTTTTGTGTTATTTATTTTGAAGAAAACAATTTTCAATATAGATACCTCTAGGAAAAGCCTTGTAGATGGTTTCTTGTTATTTAGTCTTTTTCTTTAGAGTTTCTGGAACAAAGTTTTTGTAAAATAGTTGTTTTATACCATCATGTATGTCTAATCAAGAATAACAGGGAAAAAAATCCAAATAACTTGATAAAAGGAACTTGCTCTTGATAGGTCTTTGTATTACTCACTTCTCTGAATTAAAAAAAGTTAATATTATTATACTAGTTAGTCAGTTTATTTCCATTTTATCCCATACAACCTACTGAAATATACTTATTCATTCGAGTTACACGAATAATTTAATTAAAATACATCAGACAATAGCTTCAAATATGTCTCAGTATTTCTAAAGATCTTGACATGTAATAAGCTATTAAACTTTCAGGTATTTTCTTCCTGTGATGACATAGCTGATTCTTTCATACCCTTCACCAGTAGATGTATTTGTTACTTCCACTATCACAACCACCACCATCATCATGGACCTACTGTTCTAAGCACTTTATGAGTATATCTCATTTTTCCTCACAAAAATCCTATGAGGAAGTTTTTCTTATTCCCATCTTGCAGATAAGAGAAAGATGTATAATGAAGTGGTAAAGTACTTGCTAAGCCTTATTTTCTTATTTAACGTGTGAATCAAAACTACTTAATATTTCAACAATGGAAAAAGTATGTTTACTATTAAATCTGTAAACATTCATGTCCCTAATTTTCTGCCACCCTAGATAACAGCAATTAAAGCCTGAGTTACTTTCTAACAACCAACACCACAGAAATATAAGCAATTATAAGAGAATATTATGAAAAACTATATGCCAAACCAGTTGGACAGACTGGAAGAAATGGATAAATTCCTAGAAACATAAACCACCACCCTGAAATAGGAAGAAATAGAAAACTTGAACAGACTGATAACCAGCAAAGAAACTGAATCAGCAATTAAGAAACTCCTAACAAACAAAAGTTCAAGGCCAGTTGGCTTCACAGGCAAATTCTGCCAAATATGTAAAGAAAAATTAATACCTGTTCTTCTCAAACTATTCCCAAAAAAATGGAAAAGGAAGGAAAACTTCCAAATTCATTCTATGAAGCCAGCATTACCCTGATACCAAAACCAAATGAAGACTTGACTAAAAAAGAGAAATACAGGCCTATATCCCACATACAAAAACATGGATATGGAAATTCTCAATAAAATACTAGGAAACCAAATCTAACAATGCATTAAAAAAATCATTCCCCACTACCAGGTGGGATTTATTTCTGGGTTACAAGGGTGGTTGAATATTCTCAAATCAATCAATGTGATACACATTAATAAAAAATAGGATAAGAACTATATGATCCTTTCAATAGATGCAAAGAAAGCATTGGACAAAGTACAACATCCATTCATGATAAAAACCCTCACAAAAAGGTTTAGAGGGAACATACCTCAACATAATAAAGGTCATATATGGAAAACACATAGCTAACATCATCTTCAATGGGGAAAAACAGAGCTTTTCCTGTATGGTCAGGAACAAAACAGGGATGTCCCCCCATATCATTGTTATTTAATATAGTACTGGAAGTCCTAGCTTCAGCAATCAGACAACAACAACAAAAAGACATCCAAAATGGCAAGAAAGAAGTCAAAATTCCTCTATTTGAAGAGACCGTGATACTCTATATAGAAAACCCAAAAGACTCCACCAAAAATTGCTAGAACCAATAAACTAATTCAGTAAAGTCACAGGATACGAAATCAACATGCAGATATCTGTTGCATTTCTATACACCAATAATGAAGCAATGGAAAGAGAAATTAAGGAATTGATCCCATTTATAATTGCACCAAAAACAGTAAGACACCTAGGAATAAACCTAACCAAAGGGATGGAAGACTTATACTCTGAAAACTATCAAACGCTGATGAAAGAAATTGAAGATGACAAAAAGAAATGGAAAATATTCCACACTGATGGGTTGAAAGAACAAATATTCTTAAAATGTCTATACTACCCAAAGAAATCTTCACATTTAATGTAATTCCTGTCAAAATACCACCAACATGTTTCACAGAGCTGAACAATCATAAAATTTGTATAGAAGCACAAAAGACTAAATAGCCAAAGCAACTCTGAAGAAGAAAAGCAAAGCTGGAGGCATTACAATTCTAGACTTCAAGTTATACTACAAAGCTGTAGTCTTTAAGACAATATGGTACTGTCATAAAAACAGACATAGAGATCAATGGAACAGAATAAAAAACCCAGAAATGAACCCACAATTACATGGTCAATTAATCTTCATCAAAGCAGAAAAGGATATCTAACAGGAAAAGGACAGTCTATTCAACAAACGGTGTTGGAGAAAACTGAACAGCTACTTGCAAAACAATGAAACTGGACCACTTTCTTACATCATACACAAAATAAATTTAAAATGGATGAAAGACTTAAATGTGAGGGATCCCTGGGTGGCTCAGCGGTTTAGCTCCTGCCTTTGGCCTAGGGCATGATCTTGGAGTCCTGGGATCGAGTCCCACATCGGACTCTTGCATGGGGCCTGCTTCTCACTCTGCCTGTGTCTCTGCCTCTCTCTCTCTCTCTCTCTCTCTCTCTCTCTCTCCCGCGCTCGCTCTCTCATGAATAAATACATAAAATCTTTTTTTAAAAAAAAAGACTTAAATGTGAGACAGGAATCCATCAAAATCCTAGAGGAGAACACAGGTAGTAAGCTCTTTGACACCAGCTTTGGCGATTTCTCTCTAGATATGTCTCCTGAAGCAAGGGAAACAAAAGCAAAAATGAACTATTGGGACTCATCAAGATAAAAAGCTTCTGCACAGTGAAGAAAACAACCCACAAAACTAAAAGACAACTATTGGAATGGGAGAAGATATTTGCAAATGACTTATCTAATAAAGGGCTAGTATCCAAAATATAAAAAGAATTTATAAAACTCAATACCCCAAAGCTGAATGATCCAGTTAAAAATGAGCAGAAGACATGAATAGACATTTTTCCAAAGAAAACATTCAGATGGCTAACAGACATATGAAAAGATGCTCAACATCACTCATGGTCAGGGAAATACAAATCAAAACTACAATGAGAAATCACCTCACACCTGTCAGAATGGCTAAAATCAACAATACATGAAACAACAGGTGTTGGTGAGAATGTGGAGAAGGTGAAATCCTCTTGCATTGTTGGTAGGAATGCAAACTGCTTCAGCCACTATGGAAAACAGTATGGTGGTTTCTCAGAAAGTTAAAAATACAACTACCCTATGATCCAGTAGTTGTACCCTACTAGATATTTACTCAAAGAATAAAAAGATACTAATTCAAAGAGATACATGTACCCCTATGTTTATGGCAGCATTATCTATAATAGCCAAATTATGGAAATATCTTGTATCCCTCATTGGTGAATGGATAAAAAAGAGATGATTATATATAATCTTTATATATAATATTATTTTTATTTGTGTATATAAAATATATATGCATATTATATTATTTTTATTTATATGTAAAACATAAATAAAAATTTTATATGTGTAAAATATAAATTTATTTATATCTATATATACATATATACATACACACACAATGGAACATTAGCCATCAAAAATAATGAAATCTTATTATTTACAATAATATGGTTGGAATTAGGGACTATTATGTTAAGTAAAAGAGAAAGACAAATACCATATGATTTCACTTACATGCGGAATTTAAGAAACAAAACAAATGAACAAAGGGAGGGAAAAGAGTGAGGCAAACCAGGAGATAGATTCTTAACTATAGAGCACAAACTGAGGGTTGCTGGAGGGAAGGTGAGAGGGGAGAACGGGCGATATAGGTGATGGGGATTAAGGAGTGCACTTGCGTAATGAGCGCAAGGTATTGTGTGGAAGTGTTGAATCATTATATTGTATGCCTTAAATTAATATGCTACATGTTAACTGACTGGAATTTAAATAAAAGTGTAAAAAACAAAACCTGAGTTATTTTTAATTATTTTTCAAGAAGATCTGTCCTAGAATTATTTGTTTCTCTTAAAAGTATATACATGGACCTTGAATCTGCTATAATATTTTACCATCTCTGAGCACCCACATGCATGCATATGTACATACAATTTTAAAATTTCACAGCTTCTAAAATATATGCGTAATAGAAGGATTTGTGTTTGACTTTATATATACAGGAAGCTGTGAAAGAAAACAACAAGAGAAAAGAAATGGAAGAGAAGACTAGGAGGGCAAAGCTTGCAAAAGAGAAAGCTGAACAAGAAAAGTTAGAACGCCAGAAGAAAAAGAAACAACTCATTGATATAAACAAAGGTATGAAGTAATTTCAATTTTTTAAGGATATATAAAGTACAAAATAATTTTACTTCATTGATTTTGGATTACCAAGTAAATAATTGTGTTCTCGATAGAAAATCCACAATATTATTAATTATTTGTGTCATTTTTCTCTCATGATATTATCTATATTTCTTATCACCCTACACTGAGCACTCAAGATTTTTGAGAGCCAATACAAGTTAGTAAGTTGTGGAAATGGTCTCTTTCCCTTCATTTATTTTATCAAATTATATCATATTATGTTCTTGATGCACTGGTGAGGAAAGAAGAGGGTGAGATGAAAAGAAAAAAAAACTGGTATGGGGAGATGAGTCCCATGTCTCTAATTTAATTTTGTTGACACATGTCTGTTGACAATGTAGTAATAACAGTTTTCCTTGGGGCCTTGAACATTTCAAGTCATAATAGATATTGCCATCACTATTATAAGATGAAAAAAAAATAGGGAGACATCTTATTCAACTGTGACCCTAAAAACAAAGATACTGTATGTCCAGATAGTATAAAGTAAGTTGTTTTCTTAGTTAGCAAGAATGATTGTATATTAAAGATGGGGGTTTGGTTTTCTATTCTTTTCTTTTTAAAAAGGACAGGGTAAATAAAGTGATTGGCACCAGTAGTTGCACTCTGGAAATTTTAGAAAAATTAAGAAAAGGAATAGTCTTTGCCACTGGGAGTTAGAGAATTTAAAAACAAAGCGAAATCTGAATAAGATACAAGAGAACATGATTTATATGGGTCACTATTTCTTAATATAATGACAATAAAAATTATTAGTACTGTGTAATGTTGACCATGTGCCAATTACTGTTCTGACTTTCACATATTTTAAGTCAATTAATCTTCATAACATGAGGAGTAGATACTGTTATTACCTCATATAGTTGAGGAAACTGAGGTTCATAGAAATTAAGGAATTTGCCCAAGATCACACAAATAGGAAGTGTAGCAGCAAGATTAGAGTCCAAGTATTCTGACTATAAATCTTTGCACTTATAAATGGCATTGTTAAATAATAATAACTAACAGCAATTACTAACATGTAGCACTTACTGTGTACCAGGAACTGTTGTAGGAGTTTTACATATATGAACACATTTATTTCATATAAAACCCTTTTAGGAAAGGGCTACTATCTCATTTTAAGATGAGGAAACTGAGGCACAGAGAAGTTAAATAACTTTCTCAAGTTCACGAAGACAATAAGAGGTAGAATGTAGGCAGTCTGTGGCCAGATTTAATTGTTAATTATTTTGATTATAACTATTAATTATAATAGTTAACCATTATCAATTATTCTGCAGTAATTTTTTAATGATTGATTTTCTTAAATGATATGTATATCATTAAGTTTCTAATTTATACCTTTAAAGTGTATAAAAATTTTTAAGAATTCATTATAGTTTATCTTTTCTACCCAGGAAATAAAGATAACATCATTTTAAAAGAAGAAAAAGAGATTAACAACAAAGGTTTAAAAGAGTAGCATCAACATAATTAAGCCAACAGACTTCATAATTAGGATCAAACCAATTGTTCCTGACTAAAGATACTCAATTAAGAAAAGCACTAGAGTACAGCATGGCAATGGGTATTTGTAGGAAGTTCTCACTTAAAAGGTGATGGAGTCAGTAGAATAGTACTAAAAGTAACTCCCTTTTTTGCATGGACAAGTAGTGATATAAGAGTATGGAAGAAGTAGGGGACAGATTGTGCATTCTCCTTGCTATGCTGAGGGCTTTATGCTGAAAGCTATGGGAAGCCCATCAGTGTTTATAAATGGGAAAGTGATGTGCTCACATAGATTTCTTAGTGACATCATTTTGACAGAAGCATAGAGGATAGGAAAGAGAAGGGCCTGTAACAACAGAAGTTATAAAATTATCATATTCCTGAAAAGAGATGATGGTGGTTCGAATTAGCACAGTGGTAGGGAAGTTAGAGAAGTTACAATAAGAGGTATATATGAGTTCTAAATGACGTGGATATATAGAGACAAATTTATTTAAAGGAATCGGCTCCTATGATTATAGAAGCTGGCAAACCCAAAACCTGCAGAGTAGGGCATCAGGATGGACCCAGGGAAGAGCTGGTGTTGTAGTTCAAGTATAAATGAACTTGGCTTGTAGAATTCCTTCTTACTCAGGGGAGGTCAGTCTTTTGATATATTCATGCCTTCAACTGATTGGATGAGGCCCACCCTCATTATGGAGAACAATCTGCTTTACTCAAAATCCACTGGTTTAGGTATTAATCTCATCCAAAAACACCCTCACAAAAACATCCAGAATAACTTTTGAATAAGTATCTAGGCACTGTGGCCCAACCATGTTGACACATAAAATTAACCATTTCCAGAGGAGTATTAAATGGTAGAACTGAATGACCCTGATGATTGTTTCACTGTGGGAATTGAGGAAAGGAGGCATTATGAGAGGTGATACCCTTCACAAAGACAAACAATTAAGGAATAGAGCAGATTTCATCAGGAAGGTTATAATGATTAGTGTTATTTTGAACATTTCATTTTCAGACCTTTTGGAAAGTTGGGAAATGTCTAAGTAGCCATTGTATATCATATGCATTTGAAACTCAGGAAGGAGATTTGGACTAGACAGACAGACTTGAGAATCATAGGTTTTTGATGATTAAATTTAGGGTATATTAGTTTGCTAAGGCTTCTGTAACAAAGTACCAAAAACTTGGTAGCTTAGAACAATATAAATTTATTGTTTCACAGTTCTAGAGAACAGAATTCTGAAATCAATGTGTAGGAACGGCCATGATCTTCCTGAAGATGCTAGGGAGAGATTTGTTCTACCCTCTATCCTAGCTTCTGATAGTTCCTTGGTTTGTAGCAACATAACTTCAATCTTCACATGCCATTCTCCCTGTGTACATGTCTGTCTCTTCACATGATGTTCTTTTTATTAGGACACCAGTCATATTGGATTAGGAGTCCAACCTACTACAGTATGACCTCACCCTAATTAATTAGATAATCCAACCCATAACATATGAGTTCAAATGAGATCACTAAGGTAAAGTATATACATCAGAGGTTCTGAAAGTATTTGGTCTCAGAGCCCACTTATATTTTTAAAAAATTATTGTGGATCCCAAATACCTTTTGCTTATTTGCATAATATATACTGATGTTTACCATGCTAGAATTAAAACAGACATAATAAATAAAATTATAGAAATCATTTTAATTTTTTATTTACTAGTTCAATTAAAATAACAAAGCAAACCTATTACATGCTAAATAACATCTTTTTATAAAAAGTAGCTTTACATTCTAACCTCCTGGCCCCAAAAATAAATTAATAAGAAGAGAAAATTTAGTGATTGTAAATCTCTTCCAAATCTGGCTTAATAAAAGACAGCTTGATTCTCATACCTGCTTTTACATTCAATTAAGTGCAATAGCATTTGTTATGTAGCTTCTGGAGAACACTATAAACTCATGAAGGAATGTGAGAGACAAAGGCAAAAAAGTATCACTATTCTTATGAGTATAGCATTTACCTTGCATATCTGAAGTGATCTCAGAGGCCCCTACAAGTTCCTAGACCACACTTTGAAAATCTCTGGGGTGAATAATGAAAAGAGCAAACAATCAAGACAGAGTCTATTGAGTTTTGTGGCAAGAACATAATCTTGCCCCCCAATGCATTGCACCCTTCCCTTTCCCAAAGGACTTATCAATATTTCACTATTTCCCTAAAAATATACCTGAAATAGAAAAAAGGAGGGAAGGAAGGACCTATTTTGATTATGTCTCTAGTATATATTTTCATTTCCCAAGATTTGGTCAATTACCTTTTCAAATATCATTAAAGCCACCGTATGAAGAAAAAAAAAAGCCATAGTATGAAGATCCAAATGAGTTTTTATGCAAATACTTAGCTGAGTGATGTGAATATGAGAGACACTTTAAAATAGGATTTATCGGGATCCCTGGGTGGCGCGGCGGTTTGGCGCCTGCCTTTGGCCTAGGGCGCGATCCTGGAGACCCGGGATCGAATCCCACGTCGGGCTCCCGGTGCATGGAGCCTGCTTCTCCCTCTGCCTGTGTCTCTGCCTCTCTCTCTCTCTCTGTATGACTATCGTAAATAAATAAAAAAAAAATAAATAGGATTTATCTTATGTGCATTGTTACCGTATCTCTATTTAGAGATCAAAGAGTAAACTTTACCATTAGATTCTTGATTTTTGGCCCATATGTTGCAAATACTTTGTTATTATTATTACTATTACTGTAGTATTATTTTACACTTAAGAATATATGTGTATCAGTACTTATGTTTCAAAAAGAGATTCTTCCATTGGAATCGTGTAGCCTTAAGAAGATGTGAGGAAGAATAACACAGTTGGGTAGTTGAGGGTCAAGATGGATCTCAGTGTCAGTTTCTCAGAGGGTGTCTTATAAAAGATGCTATTGTTAACTGAGTGGAAATCAATTGCAGACACTTTGAGGGCCTTGGGGAAGCATGACCAGGCTACATAAAATATGAATCCATGGGTGACATGAGAATGAGGTGCAATCAGAAAGTGACTTAGAGAACTTTATATGTGTCTAATTAGAATAGTGTTATCCACTCTCCAGTAAAGGAATTATATTCATCTTTTCCACTGAGAGGTGATGTCGAACATTTGACTGCCATTGTAGGATATGTATTATATAGACCATAAAGGTATTTCCTGCATGTGTGATTGGAGATACATACCATTACAACCAGAGGACCCTACCTATAACAATAGTAGTTAAGTAAAGAGTCCCTTGGGTAAAGAAAGTCACTTGAAAATTTCTAGCAACTTTAAAAATACATATACTCTTTCTGTATAGTTTCTATTTCATACCAACTTAGCAAAATTGCAAACCCCTCCCTTTTAGAAAATATCTTCTGATCCCATATAGCTAGTAAGTAACAATAGTAAGATATATTTATCTGACATGCAAAATTATA